TAGATCGTTCCATAGGGCCGGGGCAGCTACAGAGAAGGCTCACCCCTGAGGAGCCGCCAAACAACATTGTGTAGTCGACGGCACCCGGAGAAGGCCCACCCTGTGAGAACTTATTGGGTGCTGGGAGGTATGTTGCAGGAAGCGGTCACAGAGATATCCAGGTCCTAGGCCATGTAGGGCTTTAAAGGTGATAACCAGCACCTTGAAGTGTGTTCGGAGACCAATAGGGAGCCAGTGCAGCTCACGGAAGATAGGTGCAACATGGGTGTATCTAGGTACACCCAGTATCGCTTGCGCGGCTGCATTCTGGACCAATTGTAGTCTCCAAACACTTTTCAAGGGCAAAAGACTCACTCTGTTTTATTAGGCTCTGATGATTCTTTATGTGTCTCTCTCTCTCTTTAATAGGCAAGTTTCAAGATTTCTGTCCAGTTTGTAAAACAATTCTGGTTAATACTTGGCTAGAGAAACTGCTCTATGCTGAGAAATTGAAAAATCCCAGAAAAGGCAATGAGAAAGTACTTCTGTCATGCTCTCAGGCAAACTGCATGAATATTACTAATAAATGCTGAGCTTTATTTAAAGGTATATTTAACCTCACTGTCAATATCTACTTTTATTTTTATGCTTTACGTGATAATAACATACTCCTTCGGGTATTTCTAATACACCTTGCAGTTATTCTCTGTGGATCAATGTTTACCATGTGTATTGTTGCAATTGTATCTCAACTTAATTAGACAGATGTTACACAGTATATGTGATCTCAGGGAACTACAAACATTAGGGTTAGGGAATACAAACAATCCAAACAAGCCATTTTGCAACTGTACTATATGTCTGTAATTATAATCATATTGCCAAATGCACAAACAGTTCCATATAGGTCAGAGGTGGGTGGCTCCTGGTTTGGCTCAGATTGGGCGAACCAGTAGTGGCGACAGCGGGATGGTCTGCCCATCCACCCGCCCGCCTGGATGCTTCTGTGCATGAGCGGAAGCATCATGTGCGAGAACGAGTATGAGCGAACCGGTAGTGCTGGGTTTGGCAAACCACCTCTGCTATAGGTACACCTTTAAAAAAAAACTTCTCCAAGTTTTACATTATAACTTCCTTTTCTCAAAAGGAATTATACAGTATTCCTAGGCAAACAAGAATTTTCCTTGGCGGAAATATTATCTTCTGAGATACATTTCCTGAAGAAATCTTTCAAATGCTACCACGCTGAATTATTTCTTGCAAAAAGTATTGCTTAACCGAGTAGGAGAAAACAAATTCATGCTAAAACAGTTTCCTGGGTTTTAGCCATATGGGGGCAATTTGTATGAAAATAGGCTTTTATTTGTTTGCCTTATTCTTTCTTCTTTTCCAAATTGATGGATCAGGCGCTGTCCCCACTATCTTGATTTCTGTCTGTAGTGTCAAATGATAGCCAGACATGATAAGCCATGTAACTCAGTGATATTGCCTACTTCACTGTTGACACTTGATACTGCAGCACCTTTAATGGATATGTAATTGAGCTAGTGCTGAAACTGCTCATTCCCTGATGCGGAAGAGAAAAAACACTACTTTTCTCGCAAGTCACTTGTTCAGAGTTGGGTCAGTGCATCTGGCTGTGAATGCATCACTCTGTTTCCTCTTCTTGTGGCACTTTCCCATCAAGTCATCATTATGAGTTATTTCCACTGAAGTCAGTTCAAGGGAGTAAGCATCCTCTGCTTGAAAATTGCTAAATGTCTTTTCTCATTCTGTTCTCCTTTTCTTTCTCATGTAGCTGTTTTACTATTATTAATTTAAAAAGAGGCAGGAAAATATATGTGTGTAAAGAGAAAAATGTATGAAGAGACTCAGAAGGAGAGAGAAAGGGAAGAAACATTTTTAATTATTGGAATATAGAGGTGTGTCAAACTCAAGCCTCGGGGCTGGATCTGGCCCATGGGGTGCTTTGATCTGGTCCATGGGTCCAACCTGGAAACAATGAAGGACTAGCCCATGGTGTCCCTGCCAGAGAAAATGGAACTCAAGAGCCCATTTTTGCTGGCAGAATGCTTGGGCTGCCACAGGCACCCCTGACACAAGTGACATCGAGCTGGCCATGGCCACCCCGCCCATGCCTACTCTGATCCCCCAAGGTCAAACACAATCCTGATGCGGCCCTCAAGTAAATCGAGTTTGACACCCCCAGAAATATAGTCTTGATGGAATATGACTCTTATCCTGGAACAGCTTCACTACTGTGATATAAACAAATAAAATGGTGAAAGAAAATATTATGATGTTGGTGATGGGATATGACTGAATGTTTTCTTTTTAAATATGTTTAACTCATTCACAACAAACTTTCACCAGGCCTCTGAGTAATATGAATAATATAAAAAGCCTTGATAAAACTAATCATAGTATAGAAGCAAGACTGTATCATTATAACATCCAGTATTGGTTTCATACCAAGTTCAAATTCCATATGTTAGTACTTAAATACCAGAAATCAATTGCAAAAAGAACATATTAGAAAGAGATTGAAGAAAATCTTAATATAGATGTCTGTATAACATCAAATAACTTACATAATGTCATTTGGTCTGTTATTCACCCATGGCTTTCTGGTAACCTAAATATCATATAGATGTAGAACTGTTAGGGTAATAGAAGTGATTCCATATCTAGCTGTTTTGAAATCACATCTGAAATATTCAAATATACTTTGTTGACATCCAGTTGGCTGTGATGTAAAGTAAGATAAATATTAAAACTGGAGATGTGAACCTGCAGAACTTTATAAGGAAATTACTATATATCTCCTATTATTATACTTCTTTTCCACCCACTTAATACTAAGCAGAACCACTTTATTATGAAGTCTCATTCCTAACCTTCATGGCATTTCAAAACAATGTGGTGTCTAGTAGTATCAAAAGCTACCAAGAAGCCCCAATGCATCAGGAGACATGAACTGTTCCATGTCCAGTTCTCATAAAAGTCATCTAACAGGAAACCAGTGTAATCCATTTCATGCTCTGGAACAGCAGGCTACTTAAGAAAACTATAGGCATTTGTGATTCCTTCCCATTTGATTTTTTTTTTTTTTGCCCAGCACAACAGTTGCTGATTACACAATAACCTCGAAAGGTGTGGGAGCAGAAGAAAGGAGATGCTATGTAATTTTTGGAGTACTGAAGCCATCGTTGAACAGGGCAGCGCAAGCAGCAAAAAGACAACAGAGATTTTTCCTTCAGAGGGAGTAGAAAGTGCAACGAAACAAAAGTATAGAGATGCAGCAAGAAAAAGCCAAACTTGAACAGGTGAAAGGGATCTACATGTCAGCAATAACAACAGAGAAGAAAAAAAATCACAGAGAAATTAACACAGAATACATTCTGTAAGAGAAAAACATTCCCAAGTATTAATAACAGTGAATAGTCCAGAAGTAATAATAATAAAGTGTGGAGGCAATTGTAATAGTAATAATATAGAGATAATAGAAGCAGAATGCTGTACAGATATAATTGTAATAATATAGAATAATATATGGTAATAATATAGAAATAACAGCAATAAATAAGAATACGGAATAGAGGTAATAGGAAGCACACATATATTTGCAAATCTTATACATCAAAAGTCCAGCACTTTTTTTTTAACCTCTCTTGAGTTTGGGTCAATCTAATTGAATATGGTTTAAAAAAGAATCTTTAACATATACCCAAGTCAGAAATCTGGATGAAATGGATCTAGATAATCTAGTACAGTGCTCTACTTGCAATCCCACCATTTTTGGATTGTCTCTCCTAAAAAGAGAAAATTGGAGACCAATTAAATAAGCTGGATCTAAGGATGCCTCCTCAGGACCATATCTATCTAACTGATCCAGCAGCTCACCATTGGAAGTAGTATTGAAGTAGTTTGTACATTGGTGGTATAATACATCTCAGAGAACATTTTATTCATTTTTTCTGAATCAACAAGCCAACCTGAATCCCAGATGAATTTATAGGCACTATCACACACATTTCCTTCGACACCATCCATGCAAAATCCAATCAAGAGAAACCAAGAGGTTTTATTCATGAAATTCTACTCAGGAACTTACAATGGTCTGCAGCCAGATATTCACACTAGTTGCTTCCCAAAAGGAACAAGTTACCTTAAAAAGCCCACTGGAACACATTTCCCTGGTGCCAAAAGAGTATAAAAATGAATCATGACTTTTAAAGCAATCCTGAACAACATCAAGATCAAGTCTATAATTTCACAAATAAAATGGTGAAAAACTTTATTTTTCATTTTAAATTATTAATCATTTAATGGTTATACAAGTCTCCCACATATTCTACTAAGCTTCTCATACGTATTCAAACAGCAGGAAACAAGAGATTCTATATCAAGTATAATAACTGCAGACTTACAGTGTCAAATTTATTGACCAAAAAGATAATGTCCCTGAAAAAAATAATATTAATTGAGGTGGTATGGGTGTATTTTCACAGGTTCTTATTTAGCCACTCAATGTAATTGTTAGCCATTCTGTGTCCTATATTTTGGGCAAAAGGGCCTGTAATAAATGTTACAACACCATGAAAAGCATTGTCAACATGTTCGTGTGTTACCTCAACTCCTGCTTCCCTAAGACGGGAAACATACATAATTCCATCATCCCTCAAGACATCATATTGACAAGTCATGATATATGTAAGTGGTAAGCCCTGAAGCTTGATGTCCTCAACTAAAAGTGGTCCGCTCCTTGGATCCAGTAAATCTGGATATTTGTGTCCAGTTTTGGAATTTCTATGTGATGGGTCAGTGTAAATGTGGCCTTTTTTAAATCTTTCAGGGAGCCACTTACTCCAGTTTGCAAATTTAAACAAATGGTTGAGCTCTGCAGGAACATGTTGGTTGTCTCTACAGCTTTGGAAAAAAAGTCATCTGATGGAAAATATTCATGGACGAATTTGATTAGTAATGTTTTCGGCA